TCAGCGTGAAGGATCAGTGTTTGAGCGGAGTTGTTTGTTTGTTTTTCTGCTCCTGCAATATAAACAAGCTAATTTTGTCATAAGTTTGCATTTAGAAAATAAATAGCCTAATCTTCTAGACTGACTGTGAGGTCCCTTACTACTTAAGATGCAGATCCTAAGCTAATGTTGCCAAAACTCAATCAACTCTGGTTCTATAGAAGACAAGTAGGGAGAGGCAGCAGGTCTAGACTGGGCTGGTGGGCTGGACTGAGCGATGCACAGAACCCTGCCAATTTTCTAAAGTTAAACTTGGTGTAGAGTGAAATCTTTTTTTGAGTTCGGTGGATAACCAAAGCCAAGCCATGTGTGGATTTGTACTTGGGGTTTTGCTTTTTTTTTTTTCTTAGAAGGAAATGTAGAAAATCCAAACAGTGGAAGTGTGCAGGGATGTGGTTGCTGTGGTGTTGTCATTTACGCCTGTCACAATAAAACTTGAACCCGTGTGGAAAAATGTTTCCACGGCCTTGTGGAAACCACAGGCTATGTCAAGTTTGCATTTAGAAAATAAATAGCCTAATCTTCTAGACTGACTGTGAGGTCCCTTACTACTTAAGATGCAGATCCTAAGCTAATGTTGCCAAAACTCAATCAACTCTGGTTCTATAGAAGACAAGTAGGGAGAGGCAGCAGGTCTAGACTGGGCTGGTGGGCTGGACTGAGCGATGCACAGAACCCTGCCAATTTTCTAAAGTTAAACTTGGTGTAGAGTGAAATCTTTTTTTGAGTTCGGTGGATAACCAAAGCCAAGCCATGTGTGGATTTGTACTTGGGGTTTTGCTTTTTTTTTTTTCTTAGAAAAGGAAATGTAAAATCCAAACAGTGGAAGTGTGCAGGGATGTGGTTGCTGTGGTGTTGTCATTTACGCCTGTCACAATAAAACTTGAACCCGTGTGGAAAAATGTTTCCACGGCCTTGTGGAAACCACAGGCTATGTGGAAACGTGCCCACAGCCAAGCTTCTACAGCAGCTCCAGTATCTGATTATTTACTTCATGCAATGCATGCTTACCTTCAGAAAATAATTCAGTGGTTTAACTCTAGAATTATTTGGTAATGAAAATTCGCAGCCAGTGTTGGTACAACACTGACAGACGTAGAATAGGTTTCACTGTGTTCAATTGGATGGTAGGTATAAAACTTCTTTCATAATATTTTTATGCTTCTTTTCCAGAGGAATACCCAACTATGACTTCAAGATTGGTAGAATCACATTCATTAGAAACTCACGTCCACTAGTTAAGAAAGTTGAAGAGGTAAATAAAGTTGGATCCTTCCCAATTTTGCACAGAATTAGAACATTAGAACTACTGTCTGAGTCTGTGGTTCCTCTCTCCATACTTAATTTTTCACAGTGCACTTCTGTTACAAAGTGGAGTAGTTAAAAAGTGGTTTGAGTTAGGTGAAAGCAATCTCTGATGTCCTTGCTTGCTGATGTAAAAAGATTGGCCTGACATAAGTTTCATAAGCCAGTGCATACTTGTTTCAGTTGGCTGAAAGGTCACTGAAATGCTCGTATTTTGTTTTCAGAAAGAAAGTAGTTATGTAGATTAAGGCTGTGAAATGTCTACAGTCAGTTGCTGCTCTGGTGGAATGTTCTTTCTAACGATCGTTCAGCTTTCGTCACGTGCAAGCAGTGAGCAAAGAAGTAACAACCTTTTTTCCCTTCTTTCCTTTCTCCAGGATGAATCTGGAAGCCGGTTTATTGCCTTTTCAGGAGAAGGCCAGTCCCTGCGCAAAAAGGGAAGAAAACCCTAAGTTGTGGTACCTTTAGTCAGTTAGGAGGAAAATAAAACAATTGCAGCATATTGGATCTTAGTTACTGCAGTTGAGAGGAGAGATTGTTTTGCAGTGCAGGAACACTTTTACTGGTTTTGGTTTCACATTTAAAACCGGAGCTGTCAGATTGTCTTAATTTCCAGTTGAAAATTAAGTTTTGGGAATTCTGAAGGAGTTTTTTGTATTTGTTGTAAAGAGGGAAAGTCTGTCTTGGGTAAACCTGAGAAGTAAAACCAACAAGGTCTACCTTAGTAAAAGGTCCAGTTCTTAGACTACATGCTCTCCTCTTACATCCTGAGTGATGATGATCTCACGTTGCTCTGTGCTTGATATTTTCCTCCCTATATGTATCTTTTGCCAGAGTTCCAGGTAAGCTTTTTGGTGTGGTGCAAATGAAGGCTAACACTTGGGTGTTGAAGACTTTTGTGCAGGGAGTTTCTTTGATCTTAGCTTCAGGTGTTGGGTTATAAATCGTTCTAAGTAATCCCCCTGTAATTGCTTTTTATATTTATAATTAATCACATGCCTTTTAATAGTTCAGATACAACAACGTGCTGTAGCAATCTAATGGCACGTGCGGGGAGAGGCAAGACCCAGCTCCCCTGCCTGGTGCCAGTGAAGGGCGTGCAAAGCTCTGGCGCCCTGCGCTTTGGAATAGCGGTGTCGGTATTGACTTGTGCATCCTTCCCAGTGCCGGCGTGTCCGTATTGAGCCTTTAGATGGGTAACCGGGTGAAACCCCCTGTACTCCCTCCTGAAGGGCCGAGTAAAGGATCCGTGCTGACCAGCGCGCGTCCCTGGTGGGGGGGGGGGGGGGGGGGGGGGGGGG